CCCTCGCTGTGTCCCAAAGGAGAAGCAAAGCAAAGGCGGCGCCTGGGCAGCCCTGAGGAGGGCCTTTGAATCTACCAAGTCCTGGCATTGGCCCTAACTGTGCAAAACAGGACATCTTGAGCCGTCCCAGACTCGCACGAGGGCTTGAGCCGTCCTTGCCCAATGGCTGAGCTGGCCCTGGGCCCTGCTAAGGCCCCTCTGCAGTGGGATGCTCATGCCTGCCTTGTCTCTACATCCCTTTTGCTTCTGTCTTGCTGGGGCACTTATGCTGACCCTGCTTTCCTGCTTAGACAGCCATGTGCTTTTCTGAAAGCATCTTCTTGTGTTTTTTTTTCCCCTTTTGTACTCTTTTGTCATGAATATCTGTCATTTTGTAACCAACTGCAGGATGAAGGGGCTAGCCCCCCACTCCCCTCGCCTGGCTTCATTTAGGAACAGAAAATGTTATGCATGTTGAAGTGTTATTAACTCTGTATTCGGATCTTTGTTGAACCCTTGTTTGAAAGCTTTGATGCAGGCGAATCAGAGTTTGTGTGTTTGCTATTCTGAGGAGCTTGGAGCAGTCTCTAGAAGGAAGCATCCCAAACCTCAGCCTCTTGTATATTTCCTACAGCTTTCTATAATAAACTGTTTTAGTGACGCTTGCTCTCTTGTGTTTCTCGAACAGCAGGCATAGGGCAGAGCGCTGTCTGAATTGGTGTTGTGGCTCCGTGCTCAGCCTCGTCCTTGCCCCTAACCCCATACTGGAGATGGCTGGTGCCCGCAGTGCTCATGCCTCCCTCTCCCCAAACCACACACCCCGCACCAGCTGTACCAGTCTTATGGGTTATGGCAGAGGAATAGCAGCTCCCTCTTCCTGCTGTGGGGCTGCAGTGGGTTCCTGGTGCCAGGGCTGCCTGTCTGTCCGTGCCTGGTGTCTGTCCGGGCAGGCTACTCTACAGGACGAGCCTGAGCAGGACTCAGGCGGTGCCGGTGTTGTATGGGCACACCACCTCGGGGCTAGCTGTCGAGTTGGGCTCAGCTGCCGCCAGGATGCTGCGCTGCTGCAGGAGCTGGTCTGGATCGCTGTGATACCGAATTGTATCCGACTGTGCAGACAAGCTTCCTTCCCCCTGCGATACATACTCCCCAGTCTGCACACGTAGGCTCCTGGAGGAGGTTTGGTGGGGAAATTGCTGTAGTCTCCAGCCGGGGTAGCAGTGGTCTCCTGGCAGCCTTCCCTGACGCGGTGCATGCTTATTACTCACTTTTATCAGCCAGGGAGCCATTTACTCCCCTAACATCTGAAACTATTTTCCACAGATTCCTTTACATTTACTAACAGCTGCCACGACTTCCTCCAGGCTCGCCTGCCCCGGCCCCCAGCACCCTGCTCCATTCCCCCTGCTCGGTGCCTCGGCTCCTGCGGGTGCTGTTCGGGCAGCACGATGGGCAGAGCCCACGGGGCTGCGTGGGACCGCGGCGCTGGCTCTGCGCACACGTTCCTGGCTCCCTCAAAGGCTCCTGCTCCGGTGCCTGATGGGGTTTTTCAAGTAAGATTTTTGTTGCTGTTGCTGCCCTGTGATCTGTGCCAGGCTCTGATTTTGCTGCTGCTCAACCTGAAAGGGTGAGGAAGCAGCTTGAGCCCTGGAGGTTTCCAGCTGAGCCTGTCCTCTAGCAGAAGCACCGCAAACCCTTGTTTCTACAGTGCTGTTTCCAGGGATTAACCACAAAAGGTTTCTGTACAAAGGGCCCCCAGGCTCCTCTTTCAGTCGGCCTCAAGAGCCTCACGTTTTTAGCCAAAAAAGGAAATGACCCAGCTGCATGTAGCACTGGAACATCTGGATTTTATCCCTGTCATGAATGGGTCATGGCTATGCATAGCCCAGTGCCTGATTTACAGGAGGGGGAGGGTGATGTCATGCATAAACATCCCCCGAGACTGTCAGAGTGCAAGTCTAAAAGAGTCAGGAAAATATTATTAAACACAGATGAACAGTGCAGGGTGGAGGGCAGGGCCAGGGCTGCTGCGTGCGGTGAGGTGGGAGCAGGGAAACTCGCTGGGAGTCCAGGGCAGCACTGGGGGTACAGAAAGAGGCCCTGACTTTAACCAAATGTGCCTGAGCTGTGCTCGCCTGCACAGCCAGCACAGGACCAGGGACTGCGTTTGCAGCCCCAGCGGGCAGAGCCAGGTCCAAGCCACTGGCTCCAGTGATGTGTCCCAAAAGGGCTGCTTGCTCTGGGCCAAGGAAAGTGCTGAGGTGAGAGCAGGGCCCTGCTATGGGTTGGCTGCTGCAGCCGCAGGGCTTGGGCCGGGATGGGGACAGGGACATGATGCTCCCCGGCGCCTGGAAGCAGCTTTGTGTCACAGCCCAGGGCACCAGAAGCAGCTTAGCTCAGCGGTGACAATGGCTGCTCGCTGCTGGCCGTGCAGTGGTGCCCGTGCCGGGCACATGCCGGCCGTGTGCTTCCTCCCTTGGAGACGGACACGGCTGCTCCCGGCTCAGGCTCGCCGTAGGCAGCGGTTTCACTTCCCAGAGGTTTGTTCTCTTTCCAGCCAGGTTCCCCCGGAGGAGAGCTGAGCCACTTCTATATTAGGTACAGTCTGCATGGCAGTGATGTGAGCCAGTGTCCCAGAGCTGATAGGACCTGCACAGCTGGGGAGTGAGCGCTGCCTGCTCCTGCCTGAGGTTGGGCAGGCGGGAAGGGCTAATTCCAGCTGCCTGCTAGCGTGTGCCCCTTTTGCAGCTGTAGCTGCACACAGGTGCAGACAGCGTGTCCGATTACTGTGCCAGTAATGCCTTGTCTGAGCTCCCCAAATGGAGCATGGACCTGCCTTGGCTGCTCCTGCATCCCTCCAGGTGACGGGTCAGGAGGCTGCACTGGTGCTGGATGAAGCTGGAGGCTTGGGTTTGGCCCCACAATGGTAACAGGCAGGTCTCCAGGGCAATTGCTGCAGGTCCCAGGGCTGGTGGGTGAGCCAGTGATAAAGGGTGAATACCTCTCCTTTGTCTCTAGTGTCAGGAGGTAGGGATGTGGTTATAGTCAGGCTGAACCCTGCAGGCATTCTGTGAATACTCCCCCAGGTCTTTTTTTTTGTTGTCCCTTTGTCCCCACCCTGCCAGGGCAGTGCCTAGTGAAGGTCCTGGGAAGGTGGGGAAGGAGCAGTAGCTCAGCACGAGTAGGTTTGCTCCCATCATCCCACCTTTCCTTCCAGGAAAACCGTGCAATGTCCCTCCCTGGTCTGTCCTGCAGCGACAGGCACAAAGTCTGCTGCTGCAGCACATGGCGCCAAGGGGCTGCGGTGCTGCTGTGGGATGGGACGGAACGGCACAGCACCTCCTGGAGCAACCTTCTCCCACCAGAGCAAACCTTCTCCCAGGTGCTCTGCCATTCGTTCAGTGAGGAGGAGGGAGGCCACACAGGGGCTGGTCTTGTCCCACCTCGGCCCTCCTAATGCCAGCAGCCCAAAATAAAGAGGCCATGTGGCTGGATGGGACATTGTTAGATTTCAACTCCTTCCCTTTCCAGGGATGAAGTTTCAAGCAAAGGGAAATGGAAGAACACTAAGTTCAGAACCTTATCTCCATTTTTATTTTTAGACAGGCATTCATGAGGAAGAAATGACGTACTTTGGGGCAGCCTGTAATGCAAGAAAGTAATTAAAGACAATATTCTTACCTTCAGTACCATTCTCTCCTCAGTGAATTGGCTGTTCCCAGGGCAGGATCGTGTTTGTCTGCTATAATTAAGCACGATTTTTTTGTTGTTGCTTTTGGCTTTAAGTAATTTATCATGCATGTTAGAAAAATATGAATTATTTATTTGTGAGTTAAAACTTAATTATAGCTTTGCATTTGGCAAAGTGAGGGCAAAGCACTGGCATGATCTCTCCTTGGCATTTCAAGTGGATCTGAAGAAGGC